TTTATTCTTTCTTCTATTAGGAGTTAGTTGTGGGTGTGGAGAAGAATATCTTGTCGACAACGATATTACTAACTGAAATTCTTAGCAAACAAAGGGAAAGAAAGCAAAAAATCTGAAATGGATATAATCATGTCGAAAATTAAAACAGTGTGGAACCTGAAATTTAAATTTTGGTACTATTATTGTTACAATAACAAAATTGTTTTAGATGTTGTAAATGTTAACAAAGCTGCACAGAATTCTTTAGGATTCTTTTCTTTAGGAGAAAAATGTGTCTCTGCAAAAGAAACGAAATTTTTAAAAGATCATAGAAACTATATAAAACTCAAGTAAGTGAGAAAAATGACACAAACCAAATGAATTATCTAACAAATATACTGAGAAACGCCTAGATTCTGGACTTGAAAAAACCCATAAAGATAACTACGGTTACGAAGTCGAAACGTAATTACCCTGTTAAAAATACCATTAAAATGATTAAGCATATAAATGAATGTAGTCTATGATATTCATATATTGACACTATGTAATATTAATGTATTGGTATTTTTCTGTTGCGGCTCGTCCTCGTCCACTCAGCTACCAAATTACCTTATTAGATTAAGATTTAAGGATTAATATTTAAGTAGCGTGATTAATAAAATGCATGACCCCCCTCCAAAGATAAAGATAGTTTACAGAAGTACAGTATATTTTTAGAACTTCAGATACCGTGTTAGAGATGAATATTGTATCATTAAATTAGGAACCTTCACAGCTATGGATAAAACAAAAATTAGAGGGATAATTTTAGAGTTAACATTTATCGTTTAAAGATTATAATTCCCATATTATTCTATTCGGATACTTTTAATTAATTAGTGTTTTTTCGATAAAGAATGATGCCTGTAAATCTTGGATTGTTTTTATTTCTTATCTGTATTTTTGAAGGTATTTAAGCGACATTTTCCAATCTGATAAGAATTTGCTCGCTTTACGTTCTTTTTCCTCCAAGATATCCTTGGAGTTATTACGTACCAAAATCTGTCCAAGAGAACTTTCTATGAGACAAGAGAATTAAACAATGCAAGAATTTCGGAGTTAGAAAACAACTTGCCTTTCTAAACTGACGCGTGTCTCAAATGGAAAACTGATTCGGTTGCCAGCGATTTTGCTTAGACTCACGCAAAGCTGACCACAGAACAACGCAGAGGTTAAGGCCGCCGACCCACAGCGATATCAAAAGATCGAGTGTAATTGTTGATGTCTCAAAAAAACTTAGTTTGTTAATAATCCACAATTGATAAGAAGTCTTACTATCACAAAAGCGTTCGATTAGCGCATAATTTTTGTACGTTAAGTATATTAAATACGATAAAGTTATATAAAAAAGAAAAAAGAAAAATCTGCTTAAGTCATCATTTAAAAAGAAAATGCATTTGCATTTCATTTATTTACGATTATTACTTTTACTCTTAAAGTTCACACTGCTGCAGTTTGTTTCCTAATATTTAAATTTGCTTTCTATTTTTTTCAAGATGAATCGTGTCTGCCTGTATCTACATTAATATTTTTAGACGTAATACCCACATTATAGATCAATGCTCAATCTATTTCTTCATGCCTGAATATTAATCTTATTTTATTTAATTTAATAGAACCTTAAAAAACTATTTGTTAAGAACAATAGGAAAGTAGAATAAATTAAAATCTAGCAGGACTAAATTAAATTTGCATAACGCTGACTGAGATAATTTTAAACTGACGTGAATTATTTTTAAATAATGTGCATCAGTGAATATGCCATAAATATATTGTTATTTTTCAAATTCAAAGGCCTATATATATAATATAGTTCATAAGATGAAAGAGAATGAAATGTATTTAAAAAATTGAGCAAAATGCGCACACCGGGATTTTGCATCATGTATGAACTAGGATTTGGCAAATTGAAAACTAGATAAATTTAATTAAATGAGAAATAATTTTCAGCTTAGAACGTGCATTAAATTCATTTATCCTTTACTCTAATACTCTGGCTTACGGCAATTCACTCCATCCTAACCAAACTAAAGTTTCCGAACTCAATATAACGATTTTCGTCCGCATGCGTTCCACCAACGCATGCTGAATTCATTTGAATGAAAAATCTTCTTCAAATGTCGTCAATAAAAGCTCTCAGCTCTTATTTGCTTTGGACAAGGTCAAGTCTTGCAAGATGGTGAACAAATTAATCCTTTAATAAATGATCGAAATCGGAGCTTCAGCTCTTTGTTCACGAAACTTCCTCCGAGCGGACAGTTTACTTACTCAAGAATACCAAGAGAGATCAAAGCAAACGGCTTCTCCGCAAGTTACCTCTCTTCTAATTACATTTGGTCCTTTACAAACCGGCATGTTCGCAGACAAGGCACTTCAGAGCATTACACCGTCCAATATTGACCCCCTTCTGCTGAAGACATTGTTAAGGGACTAAGCGGAAAGCCCGCGGCAAATCCTGCTATTAAATAAAGATAGAAACATAGCTTCCTATTCCCACCACTCTTCCCGTCCATAAAGCATAACAAGTTTATTTGGAATCTTCCACTGTAATTCTGGTAAGTGCTGAAATGGCTGGGAGGCTTTTGTATGCCGTCGATGGCAGCCATTGTCGGTTCAAGCCTACGCCAGGAACGTCAATACGCACTCAGAAAAGAGAGTCAAACACGTGGCTTTGTTTGCCAAGAATTGTCCCTCTTTCAATAAAGCTTTGTTTCTTTTTTAAAAGGGTAAGACTTGATTGCAGTGATTTTTGAAATGAAACCATAACGTGCTTAAACCGCCAGGATTACAGTAAAACCTCTTAAGGGATTAGATTTTGAGAACTGAATAACACTTCTCAAGTTTCTGAATATATTAAAATTTTTCCTTTCGTTGAACAATTACTGAAATTCGAATTCTTTCTTTCATTTCACACAGCAGTAATGAGGTAATGTCAAACTCAGAAGCTGGAAAAAAACTAAGCATGGGGTAAATCAGGCTTCCACTGTTAAAAGGACTTTTTAGATAGTTTCAGAACTTCAGTTACTTACCGGAATTTGCCAAACCTACATATTACTAAAAGACATTTTTGGTTCGCTTCAGAAATTCAATTAGTTATTACATCTTATTTCAGTAATTTATTATTTAAATAGAGCAGATTTTCATACGGACCGCTAATATTTCGGAAGAATTGCTACCTGATTTAAAAATCTGCTTAACCGAGAAGAGTTAAGGCTAAATTTTGCCTGTAAACTCAGCACCTGCAGATTTACGTTGGAGTTGTTAAACGTAAATAATTCTTTAGGGTTTCCTATATTATTATTACTATTATTCTGCTTTGTGGCTAGACGGTAATATACAATAAAAATAATAAAAAATAAAAGCGTATCTTTAAGACAATGCTTCCTTTACTGTATCCATTTGCAATGTTTTAAGCATAAAATTGTTGAGTATTTTGCAAGTAGTTATACTTTAAAACCTGTGAAGAAAATCCAAATAAGCAAATATGGAAATAGTATTATGAAGAAATATATTAATTAAAACTAAATTTAACGTAACCAACATAATCAGCTATAACAAATTTACCATTACACTTTCGTTAATTTCTAATTAGAAAGTAATATAAAGTGTAACACAATGACCTTGTACAAAGAGTACAAAAAATTTTTTCAGCATTTTTCTCGCAAAATGATTTTTAATTTTTTTTTTTTTTTTTAATATATGAATTCTTCGAACACTTTTTTTTTTTTTTTTCCCCAGAAGCTGGACATCAGTTCTGGAACTTCTGCGCACTGAAATGTTTATTTTAATGACAACACAGAAATGTATTCAGCAACCAAGTTATTTAACAAAAGCATTTCTCCTCTTTGAATTAAAAGACTGAAGAAAAGACAGATGAAAGCTTCTCATGCTTCAAAAATCATATTTAATTACTTCTACTATCAGAAATACCCAACTCTTAAATACTATTTGAGTACGAAATCGAGATCTTTTTCTTTTATCTTCAAGATCTTTTAATACGGCTTAATTACTTACCTCTTTTAACTGCTTTGTAAATCTTTGATTTCATTTATTTTCTCCGAGGGACGGGGCAACCATAAAAAAACACACTGAATACTAAACTATCTCAAAAACTTTCTGGACATCCTTTCTGAGTATGCCCTTCCATAAACTTTTAAAGTCGGTCATATTTCTTTGCGGTAGATCTTAATTATTTGGATATATGCACTTATAGATATATATACATAAGATAAAAAATATGTAAAGCAAAATTATAACTTAAACTAGCAATAACCCCTTAATCCCCCTCCCTATTCTAAAAATTATAATAACTTTTCTAGACTGCGTCGTTTCTAGATCAAACCATCTTGCATGGCTTGCGTAATGCTAATGACGTAGTTAATTCGGAACCTGAATTCAGAATTTCGAGAACTGAAACCTTTCTAATCTAAACCAAAACCTTCTCTTGGTGAACTTCCACACTCGATTAGCTGCACCCTTTAGTTTCTGCCTATCTTCCTGTAATGACACTATTTCGCTTTGCTCTCTTCCTGTCGCAACGGTATCCAAATTGAAAATGCTCTTGAACAGGTACGATTAGAGCGCCAAGTATATTATGACCACAAATGTCGACTGAAATAATGACTAATATTTCAGTCGACATTTAATATTACTCATTTAATATTGAAATATTTAATATTACTCGGCTGCCAAGTTTCTTAATCATTACGGATGCAACATTTTAGCATACTATGCAATCAGAACTCTTCCTCTTTAATACAGATCTACGTTTTACGTCATCAACATGGCTGTGTCTTTTTCTCTTTTTCATCACATTGTGTTCAATTATGTGTTCTTTTACTTTTTTAAGGTAATTATTTAGGCTTTATTAATGCCGGAACTCCTAATCTCCATCACAAGGCCGTGATAAAACTTTACGTCAGTATAAAGAGCTAGTAATCTATTTATGGCCGGAGTAAAATGAATAAGAAGTCACTTACCGTGGGTGGATTGTCCGCTATATTGTTATTCTGGATATGGGAGCTAACATTTGGCGATAACTGCCTCGGGGGGCTGCTGTTGGCGGATGAATTCAAGTGATTAGGGAAGTGAGGAGGCAACATTCCAGAGGCAGTGGTCAGCAGCGTACTGGGAGCTGAGGACTGAGGAAGACCCCCTTCGAAGACAGGGAGAAACATGAGACCCTGGGGAGTCATGCCCCCCGGCATGGTCTTCGCCGCTGCAGCAGCAGAATAATGGCCATTCAATCGACTCTAGGGTAGGATAATAGACCAAATAATATTAGCGAGAGATAGTATATACGAAATTTCTATTTGTGTTTCATTCAAAAATATTGAATTCATTTTCTAATTTTTTTATTTACAGATTTATAATTTTCATATTTTTTTATTTTGAAAAACATTTTAAATAAATGCATTTCTTTCAGATATTTATAAAAGCAAGCAAAACTGAAGGCATCTTTACTGATGCCTGAGATTTCTTTAAGATATAACACACAATTCCTTAATTTGTGTCTTGAAAAATCATACAAAAAAAGGCTTTTTCGTGACATGGATAAAAAATAGTATAATTTTATCACAGAATTTACATTGTAGACTCGCCTAATAGTCGCACTTTTTTGCCATTGCTTGATGGTGAAAGTCTAGGTCCGACTATTATGTGGGGAATTAATTCTACTACACAATATTATACATTTTTGACGATTTATTCTGCTTCAAAAAGGGGGTACGATTATTACACGAGTAAACACGGTAATTATTTAATCAATATACTGTGTTCTTAGGGTTAGTAAGTTAGAAAAAATTTCAATCCTTAAGTGGAAATAAAAAATTTCCAATGGCAGACTATGAACAGTTACAGTATAACACAGTCCATTAATCTATACAAGGCCGGATGTGGCGGTCTCTTTATTATGGAGGCACCTAATAGGTGGGCCACTATCACTTCCTATGAAGGGACAGACAGGTACAACCATGCTGTCTCCGGGATTCGAACCCAGGCCCTTCAGTATCGCAGTCAGGCTTCTCTAACAACTATACCATCTGGGCGGCCTTAAGTGGAAATACTGAATCTCAGATAAAGCTACAATTTATGATAAAAATATACTGCTTTGCAAAACAGATACCGTGAAGAAGCGCTTCAAATGACAAAATCAGGAACACATATAGAGAAATGGGGTTAGAAAATATTATTTTGGATTCAACATTTACATATACGCTCATTACTGAACACACAGAGAGTTTTTAAGTGTCACAAACACCATTTTGGGTGATGCAATAGCCGTGTAACATTAATTTGATAACTGCTCGAATTCCAGCCTGACCATAAGTCTCAATTTAATTTGATAACTGCTCGAATTCCGGCTTGACCATAAATCTCAATTCAGTTCTACTACAAGGGTTTTGGAAAGTATTCTCTGACCTAAGAATCTCTACTTCTCACAGATGGCAAGAAACAGAGTAATCATACTTGCAAAAGAAATACCTCAACACTTTTCAAAGTATGTTCTGCTGATTGTTAGTTGCCTGTGGCCGCACACTATTCTACTGCCACCAGTATGGTTTCTTTTGGTTCATTTGATTATGGCAAAAAATGCGAGGGCTATCTCCTAAGGGAAGGAATGTCTTCACGAAGGACTTCCTAAGGAAACTGGCTCTTATTCACTTTACACATAGGGAAAATCATGAAAACGGCCATTAAGTGAGCCCATTCGCCTAGAATCGAACCCAAGTCGAACTACCAGTGTTTAGTGACTTTACCGCTCGGATGAACAAGAGCCGCGATTCATTCTGTTCAATGACATGGCGATGCAGTAGGCTGAAATATTTCATCAATACAGCATGTGTTCATTGTATCGGCAACACATACAGGCAGAAGTATTAATCCAGCTGCCACTTCGCTTCTGTTCTCACTATGTGATCTTCATTATTGATACAAAATCAACCTGGCCATTGTACACTAACCAGACTGTTCCATTTGTCACCTTAGGTAGCCTTAAAGCAGTACAACTGCAAACATTCACGACCATGGTTTGGTGCTAACGAGTTTTTGAAAGGCCTGACTGCAAAACCTGTCTCATTCATCATCGAACTGTTTGCTAGACACACGATCAACGATATCTCTCAGTATGTAGAGTCGTTCTCTCTTGTTCCACATAAACTAGATTAGATCCTACAATGACCTGGCGAATTCTCGCAGAGGCGTGAAGAAACCAACGCAGAAGAAAGGTGAAAATAACCTTTATTAACTCAAAATAGTTAACAGAAGGGTACGTTCTTCATGCGTTACAAAGGCACCGTCAAACATGCGGTGAAAACTAAAAACGTAGAATATAATTTAAGTCAAACCTAAAATAACTAGTGCTAGATAGCATTTAAGTTACACCTAACAGGTGGGCTCACAAAAACCTAACAGGCGTTATGATAATTCCGGTATGGCCAAGAGGCTAAGTCGTGTAACAGCGAAGCAACAACGTAAAGTGCGCTGGCTAGCGAAAACACGCTCTGAATAAACTCAGAGATTCACCCGTTTAAATATGCACTTCATCTAACTTTAAATTTACATCCTGGCGAGAGAATGTGAGGGGAAGTTGAGAAGTTCAGCTACAGTATCAACTTAAAATAACTTTGTTATGCAAAATAAGGAAAATCCTACAAGAAGACCTCACAGAATGTTGTCAGCTTCGCACTGATAGACCACTACTACATGACGTTAGATGCATTAATCTATTTGTTGTGATGGTTCTTGGGGGTGGCGTTGCAAATGGTTACTCTGGTCGTCTAGCTACTACCTTCAAATTCGAACCACGCTAGTTGCATCCCGTTGAGTTTTATCACAATACGAAGCAATCAGTTTTTCTTAAGCCTGTAAGTAAGTTACACATAGGGGTAGTAAGACTTATTAGTAGCCATTAGTAAGCCTCTAATAAATTCGCCATTTCAGAGAAAACGTTTTGAAGGGTATTTGGAAGATATTTTTGCCATTTAATTTTGTCTTTTGACAGGGAAAGCAGCATAAAACACTATTTTCCATTTCCTGAAATATGATCAAGAGTTAAGGCTATTTGAACTTATCACACTTTAAAATGATATCACTGATTAGAAACCGCAATAATTTCGTAATTTGTTTCTCTAATCCTACCCTGAAATTTGCTGAGTGCATTTTTACATTACGAAATTTTCATAATGCTTCGTCATCTGCATAGAGCTGAGTATATAACTCTAGGCAATGAAAACAATTTTTAATGATATTAGATGAAACAGTTTCCTAGAGATTTAAATTCCAGAGCTTGAATAGCATATATTTAACAAAGACGTAATTACCTGTATTCTCTATAGCTCACTACTGAACGAGTAACTAAAGCCTAGAAACAATTTTCAAGCCTAGAACAACAACTAGATGCTATTCCCGACATCTGATCAGGCCGATTCCATAAACGTTTCACGGCAAGTAAATAAACGCAGAATAGCCTCCAGTTCATATCAAAGCTGATTCCACTTTAACTGCGACAAAGCATACTAAGGTAGATAACCTTTGTCATAATCAAAATAACGAAAACTATTCATTTTATATATAAGATTACATTTAAGTTATAAAATGCTTATCTTAAACTGCTGAAGTTTGTAGTACTTTTAGTACAACTACCTTTCGACAGGTCGCAAGACCACAGTAAATCTGTTATAATGATAATGATAACTGTTAGCAAGGGAATTTTAAATATTGCATCAGTTTACGAATCTTTTAAGCAATAATTTTTGAGAGGGCAAGGAATTTACAAAAGAAGGGAAAAGAACGAAAAGAAACTAGAAATCCTCAGAAAACAAAAGAAAATAACTTACAGCAAAATCCCTTACTTGAAGTTCCTGAATTTTGTGCTGCTGTCTGACCAATTGCTCCTGTTGTTTCCTGATTTGATCTTGTTGCTGCCTTCGAATTCCTTTGAGTTGCTGAGTAGACAGTTTTTGTTGCTAGAAGAAGAATTCAATTCAATTCAAAGGATGCAAACTAAAGTATAATACAGTCACACAGTTTTTGAAACATTTAAAACTTAACTTATATCTTCATCATATTCTATACTGCAGTCACCTTACCTGTGGCAAATTTTGCACAATTATGCTAGCAAGAGGATAAAAAACGTATTTATAAATTTCTGAAATACTTCTAACAAAAGTATTTACTTTCTTCTCTCCACACACTTAAGCACGCAACTTATGCTCCTCTCTTCATTAAAAAGGGCCCACCAGCGGCCGAGCGGTAAAGTCGCTGAACACTGGTAGTTCGGTCCGAGGTTCGAATCCCGCGAACGGGCTGGCTGCATGGGCGTTTTCGTGGTTTTCCCCATGTGTAACGTGTATACGAGCCAGTTTCCCTTAGAAAGTCCTCCACGAAGGCATCCCTCCTCTTAGGCAGATAGCCCTCGAGGCTTTGCCATATTCACCACACACACACACTTCATTAAAAAGATGAAAGGGTATAAGGAGCATTTACAAGGGAAATTTCATTTAACAAAGCATTCTGTACCAAAAATGAGGGAGATAAATATCGCACTGCTCACAACTAATGATATTTTTGTACAACTTTATGGCTGCATAAACTTTATGACTTCAATTTACTCGTTTTAGTACAACTACCTTTCGACAGGCAGCAAGACCCACAGTAAATCTGTTATAAAACTATTACTATTGACAATAGCCAACACAATAACAGCAGGTTTATGCACTGCATATACCGCTTAATAGTACAGAAGGATTTATTCCACCAGACATACGAGATTTATACGGTTTTTACACCATTATTTACTTTGTAACCAAATATTTAGTCAAATAATTTTAAATGAAACATAACATCTTATAACATTTTCGAGATTCATACTCGAAAGTGTTATATAATAGAATCTAATGAAGAACACGAAGTATTTAAATAATGACCTGCATGTATGAATAAATCTGGCGACTGAGACTGTTCTATATTTTTATGCTTTTTATCTAATACTTTTTACATGCATACTTCGAATCCAAGCGCCAAGCTAAGTCCAATTATTTTTTAATCGAAATTTAAAGTAAACTTAAGTATGAAACTAAATACTTAAATGTTGTTTTGATGAAATGTTTTCTAAAGCAAATACAGTCAAAAGTCTTTAATCCGGACTCGTCGGGACTTCGGAGATTCCGGATTATAGATCATCAGTTTAAATCTGGTAAGATGGCATGCAGAAATTATAAAATTAAAAATATGAAACCGTAATTTATAAAATAAAGAAGCAATTATGATCTAAAGGTATCAAAATTTACCAAAAAAAGAAGCTTAATATTTATTTGTTTACTTTATTAAACATTTCTTTCAACGCGCATGCGTTAAGCATACATTACGCATAGCCGAAATTAGAAAATTGCAACCAGAAAACTATTTGATTTTGTATTCGTGATATTTATAATGACGAGGAAGGAATTGATTTAAATCATATCAAAGACGGAGTACATCGAGATGAAATACTACATTTAGTAAGGAATTATAAGCCGAATAAAATAAAAACATCTGCCCTGAAGATAACGATAGTGCTGACAGATCAACCTCCAGTTCATTGCGCGCCGCGACGTTCCCCCCCTCCCCCCCCGCAGAGCAGCGTGAAATTGATAAACAGATTTCGGAACGGTTAGATAAACAAAGGATATGCCTTTATCCATTTTTTGTAGCAATTCCACTTTTTGTTTGATGGACATCGAAACATACTTTCGTTTTGTAGATCCTTTGGGAGCTCCAGCATCGGAAATTTGACATAATCGAAAGTTCAAGCTTACTTTTATAAAATTGCTCTTACAGTCTGCAAAAAATAATAAGCCGGATCCAATTCGAAGATTAAGGAACAATCATCAACATTAACTGAAATAGATAATTAGATAATTTTAGCTTATACCGTCCGTTATACATTAAACGCGCACGCGAAAACGTATTCTGCGCTTGCGCAGACGCATATTTGCAGTCGTAAAGGTCTTGCGCGCACGCGTAAACGCCTATGCGCATGCGTCAACGCGGCGCATGCGCAGTAAATTTTAGCTTTGAGGTCCGGATTATAGATTATTCCGGATTATGGGTGTCCGAATTAACGACTTTTGACTGTATATAAAATTGCTAAATAACATTATAATAAGTTTGCTAAATAACAGTATATCAAAAGAGTGAACACCCCCTTGCGTTCAGACGTACTACGCATGCTTAATGCCGAATTAAATAAAGTAAACCAAGCAGCATCACGTTAATCCAGTAATCTACGATTCAGCAACTCTCAAAATACAGAACATTCCGATTCTGCTCCTGTTTGTGCATCTGCCCTTATGGTGCGTTGTTCATAGCACTTAATGCCGCAACCGAATGTTATGGCTTCACATTCCAGTTCATTTCTTATATTGAGTTGTGTTATTTCTCTTAGGGTTGTTAGCTAAGTTACTTAGATATGTAAAGAACGGTGACAGTACTACAAAACGCAAAAACAAATCTATGCTTCAAAATGTGGAGATAATGAAAGGAAAAATAAAAAAAGAACACTTTTGTAAAGACTCTATATGAATACACGTCACATGTGTGGGACTGAATAAAATTTCCGACATTCTGAGCTGAAAATAAAAGTTAAAAAAGGTTTTACATTGCAGAGCCTTTTTTAGAGGCTTTAATGGAATATTCTTTCTTGTTTTAAGCTTCGTTCAAACTTTAATATCACAGAAATAAGTAGGAGGAACGAGACAAGGAAGCTTAGGAAATTCAAACAAATAATTTCCTACAAAATACAAGGTTCCACTAGAGGCCAGTTTCTGTTTTTTGCTGTTTTCTGCGATTCGTTCATACTCCAAGGTTGACACATTTAACAGATATCAGCCTGCAAATGTAAGCTTTGATTACGTAATCTGTAAATTTCGAAGTATTGTTATCAAATACATTATGTGAGACTGATCATGCCATATTCCATCTTCGCATTAACAGGAAATTCGTAAAGCTGAAATCCAATCTTAACATCCGATTTCAAAGTCTTCTGTAACGGAAATTACTTACAATTTTAAAATATCAAATTATTTCTTGGGAGATTCGATATATGAAATTTAACTGTATTTTGTTATTTCGTTAACACAATGTAAAATATTATGCTTAATATACTTTTACTCACATTTTGAACTTAGGAATTTTATATGCTTGTTAATGTACTTGTTTGTATATTACTTTATTTACATTTTTTCGCTGTTCATTTTGCATTCTTTAATTCTTAGGATTAGTTGCAGATTATATGTTTGACGGACACAAAGTGAAAAATTTTGAGCCCCATTTTAATATTTTTTAAATCTAAAAGAACAAACACAACGCACCTCGATAAATGAAGGGGGGGAAATACAATTCAGAACAGTGATGTCGTTTTTAATAAACATTATTAATACCTTAAGCAGATCTTCTCAGAGTTACTATTAATTTTTAGAACCTCTGAGATTATCTACAGTTGCGTCGCATATGGGAAATGTCATGTATTTTAAAATTATTTCAAAATATCCTTTCAGTTAGTGATTTGTGCTCATACACTGCAGATTAATGCTTTCTTTACAATTTTAAATAATAAATAAGATCTTTATGGAAATCACTTCTATACTTATTCGATACTTTCAATACACTACTAAGATAATCATTGCCTTGATGAAGATTAAGGATAACTGAGAATCATTTAAAATAAAAAAAGTGAACAGTTTTTGTCATAGGCATCTCTGTCGTACGTCTGTGGCAAAGTAAGGGATGATTTGACAATAAAAATAATTATCTCCCCTTCAAGCGTGTAGGCTTTAATAAAAACATATAAAATTATGAAATTGAATAAAAATGTGTATTGAAATTTTAAAATGTAATAGCAAGAATTTTTGTCATATTGAGAGCCCCAAGTATACAGAAGTGAAAGTCTCTAAGCATACGCCTCAGAAAATGTATGCGATAATTAGCTTTTGTGGATAAATAGCATGGTATTCTTACACCATGATAATATGCCATTGCTTCGAAGAGCAATGTAAATAATGTTTAGGTGGCAAAGAATAAATTCAGAAATGAACTGAAAAATTCAAGCAATATTTATTAATCCCTTATATGAAAATCATACTAGATAGAACTGAAGGACGAAACACTTCATTTTCAAATAAATTCCATTTTGAATGCGCTATGATGCGTTTAACTTTGAATTATATTATCATCAGAAACAGAAGCGAATGGCAATTCAATCCCATTTTCAAAGAACTTTCATTTCAAACAAATAATAAGCTATATATATAATAGCCATTTTAATTCTTAATAACTGTAGCTATCGAGTTCAGGACAACAAAATGCAATTACAACTAGCTATACATTTATATTTTTTTATCTTTCTCAATGACCGCAGCACTGAAGTAGACGAGTTTGGTGGCCTTAGGGATTATTCCACGGTTCTCTTTTTCTATTTATTTCCGAAAGCTGGATTGAACTGGCACGCTTTATCTGACAGATTCTGATCTCCTTTACACGTTTCGGTGCAAGAAAAACAGGATTTTGATGTCATCTGAAACGAATGACGATTATCCTTTTTCATCTGTGGGTTACTGACTGGTACAAAACGGCTTAGACAATATATTACTTGTAATACCACATGGAACATAATGTAAGCACTTTCCGTAGCAAGAAAAACAAGATTTTTACATCGCATGGAAGGAATGACGATTATCCTTCTTCAGCTGTAGGTTACTGACTGGTACAAAACAGCTTAGACAATATATTATTTGTAGTACTACATGCAACATAATGTAAGATATCAATCAACAAGTGAAAAGTGTTAAGACATTTGACATTTTATACAACAAGCTAACCGGATATGATTGCTTTCTGGTAGTTTCGATGAGAGATCATAAAAGTAGCTTTTGCTAACAATATAACTTTGAGTGAAGATTGAATACTATGCTTAAAAAGGTGTCGCAAA